CCACAGAATTCGTTTTGGCATCGTTGGATAGAGAATTGAAAAGTCGATTCAGTCGTAACAACGTGAGTGAGGAAACTCGAGTAGTTTTGACCCCGAAAGCAAAATTTGAATATCAGACACTTAGGTGCAAGATTATGCCAAAATTTCATGTTTTTCGTCCCGTTTTTGCTCATATCTCGGAGGCAAAATGAGCAACAACGCTCATTTGTACATCATTCTAGAGAGAAATAAATAGCATTTTTGGAAAGTGAACCATCGATCAGGAATTGTTGGCAGTTTTCTCAAAAAATGCTTGAAATCAAGAAGTTCTAGGAAAATCATTTAAATTGTGGTAAACAGTTTCTCGCATTTTAATTAGTTCAGATTTACATTATACAGTGAGTCCTAGAAGGATTTTTATTTTATATTTGCGGTTTTTAAGTGGCAAATTTATTTACACAGTTTACATTTACACATTTCTGATGTGTTATTTGGTGGTCTTTTGCTTTATCATTCGTCAATTTTTGGAGGATAAACTTTGCTTTACTTAAAGCTTTCCAAACTTGCTCAAACAGTTTTTAATTCCCGTCGCTTTTTCCCATTTTATGACCAAAGTTTTGCCAGAATTTCCGTTCTTTGAGTTTTGTATTCTATGTATTACTTCTGTTCCGTTCATATTGTGTCATTGTTTTCGTTTTCAGTCTAGTGTTCCTTCAAATTTCTTCGATTGACCAGTTCGATTTTTTATTTGACGAGTTCATTGTCATTGTTCCACAAATTGTTTCTGCGCTTTCAAAATCGCTGATTTAAATGTGGCGCAAACACCCTCCAAACTGTAGCTGCCGATTTTTTCATTATTCCTGTTTATTTTCCTGATGTGCTGTGTTCCCCCTCTTATTTTTAGTTCTTCTAGTTCTTTGTGCCTCATTTTTCACTATTAGTTTGGAAACGACGAGTTTAGTCTGTGTTAATAAAGTTCTGCTTATAATCAATAACCCATTATTTGTCTTTCGTTGCTGCTTATTATTTCTCTGGTTTTTGATCACTGTCTTTGTGTTAGAAGAATGTTTTGGTTATGATTGCTAATTGGGCAGCAATTGGTACAAAAATTTAGTAAAAACCCGCATTTACAAATGAAAACCGACAAAGTTTACTCATTGGCAAATGAAAATCAGTTCGCGCTTGTTACGCACAAACAGAATTTAGAAATTTCTTCTGGAGCTCGGTTGAGCAGAATTAAATAAGACACACGTTCCAGACGCAAAGGATTTCCAGTGAAGGCCAGGGATGGGTGGATATGGGCGATAGTCCAGTTTTCGGCACCGACAGTTCCAATTACATCACAATTGCTCCAGTTCGAGATGGACCAGCTGGCACGTTCCGACATGCCGTTTCTGTGAACATTCCGAAAAAACGCACCATTCCACTCACCCATGGGCGGTTTGAGGTCCAGCGGATTCTCACATGGGACCATTCAAATGATGTGATGTAAGTGCGAAAAAACACTCACTTTTTCCAAGCTCGTCAATACAAAACACCGCTGGAATATTGGCGGGTTAAATATTTTAGTTAAACCTGCAATTACGACGGCTTGAAATATAAATCCCTGTTGGAAATGGCAGTTGGTGAAACACTAAATTTCAATTTGGCCGTAAATGAATAAATGATCGAATCGAAATGATGTCCAATGGGATTTATTGCCGCTAAAGTCGGGATACATGAAATTTTCAAGCGCCTGAACACAATGTCACTGGAACCGCATAAATCACTGTTCTAAACGTTAAAAATTCACAATTTTGCAGCTACTTTCTGGGGGTTCCCGAAGGGAAACCAGGCGAGTTACATCTCTATAGAGTGTCGTCCGTCCCTCCTCGGACTGGAGCGACTTTGCCACCGCCCGTCTGCATAACCTGCGTTAAGGAGCCTCCTCCAACCTCTCCTCCTTATCTGACGTTAGACGAGAGCATTTATAAGTTCAAGAAAGGTAAGCAATCGCAGTCGAGAGAAGCGTTTGGGAAGAAAATGAAATTTTGCCCACTAGGAAATTGGGAGGATGACGACGAAGACACTGTGATAACAACGCCGGCTCCCCGCAAGCGAAAAAAACAGAAGCAAAAGTTGATTGAGAAAGAACCACCTTGCTTGTACCACAACGCGTGGTTTAGGTAAGGGTTTTGAAGTTTCGGTGTTTTTCCTTTTGCCATTCTCTTGAATGTTTCAGCTCAAATTCGCAATATTTCGTATTAGAATGCTTGGGGCCTGGGGTCCCGACTAGTCAACTTTACAAGAACAGCATGCCCAAACCGAAGCTGATCATGTGGCTGCAAAATAACACAAAACTGAGGGAAAGAGTGAGCAGAATGGCCATGCCCCAAATCAAGACCTTTCCCGTGCAGATCTCTGGCGGCTATCAGGCCCATGTCAGGTAAGGTTTTTGTGGGAAACTCGAATGGTTTCCTATTTTTCTGTTTTGCTGCTATTGTGTGATTTCCAATTAGATTACATTTGCCCCCCGGTCTAAGAGAGGACGAGATAACAAGATATCCCCTGGTAGTGCAGGTGTATGGCGGGCCTGGCAGCCAATTAGTAACGGAACGGTGGAGAGTTGATTGGAACACGTTTCTAACAGGTTTGTGCTTTTTACGTTGATTTTTCGAGAATCCTAACAATCCTAACAAACACTTGGGATCCTGCAAAAAAATATGGCGATTTAGACAGGAATTGTGCATTTTTTTACTGGAATGCTGAAAGCATGTGGCAGCAGAACATTGCCCAGTATGTCATACTTTACGGAAAGCGCACTCTCTAGAGCGGAAGTTATACATTCAGACAGCAGACTTTATGGGTTATTAAATTAATGGTTAAAGTCACGAATCTCTAAAATAATGCCCTGCATTGTGATGCATCTAACTTAGAGTGAACGTTCTGAAGTCGACAATTTAACTGATGGATGGAATCCCGGCTTCCCATCTTGAGCAAAGATCGAGTGAAAAATTCCAGGTGATTTCTTTTAAGGTAACAAAGACTTCATAATAGCGCAAATAGATGGAAGAGGGTCGGGCGGACAAGGCCATCAGCTTCTGCATAAGGTCTACTACAAGCTTGGCTCAGTGGAAGTAGCAGATCAATTGGAAGTGACAGAGTAAGTCAATTATTCAATTAACTCTTTAAAATGCTGATAACTTTTATTTGTCTAACACTTTCTTTTAAGAATCGCTCAGAAGCTGCAATAACGCGTGACTCATATTCAACCCCAATACAAAATAAGTTAAGCATTCATCTAAAGTGGTTAAGGTTTTTAAGGCCACCACAGAGCTTTTAAATTTTTGAGCTTAACTTTGGCGGTTTCTCAAAAATCAATAACTGCTTGAATTTAGTTCAAATTTTGCCAATTTATAGATTGATGCTTTGCAAATACTCACGAAAATATTCAGCTAAAGGCTCGTGACGATCTGCGATTGGTGATTTTTTTTAAGGAGCAGGATACCTGAGGACCCATTTTTTTAGCTTAATTTTTGCAGTTTCTCAAAATTCAAATAATTCTTTGAATTTTGGACGCCTGATGCTTTGGAAACAAACACAAAAATACTTTAGTTGAGGTCCTGAGGAAGCTCGTATATAAATTAGCGAATTTTTCTTGAAAATTTTTTCACCAGAAGCTTTTTGAGCTGAAATTTGGAAGAAGTTGGTCTAAAAAATCAACAAGTGCTTCGATTTTATTCAAATTTGGACGAATTGTAGGTTGATGCTTTGCGAATACCCCCAAAAATACTTAAATTGATTCTCACGAGACAAATCTCGTAAAGTTGCGATTTTTTCCTGAAAAAGCAACATTTTTTGACTAGAAAGTTTTTAGAGTGAAATTTGGCGGTTTCTCAAACCTCAACGAATGCTTCGATTCGATTTCAATTTGGCCAGTTTATAGCATGATGCTTTGCAAATACTTGCGAAAATATTCAAGTTGATCAAACTCTTTAACTTACGATTTTTCTCGAAAAAGGAACATCTGTAGACCTCAAAGTTTTTAAGCTGAAATTTGGCGGTTTCTCAAAAATCAACAGGAGCTTCCATTTTATTCAAATCTGGTCCAATGATTGCCTGATGCTTGCAAATTCTTAAGTTTCTTCTGAAATTAACAGATTTTCACCACACAATTTCTGAACTGAAGCTGGGCAGCTTCTGAAAAATCAATGATTGATGATTTGATTCAAATTTGGAAAATTGATGCTTCATAATCACTGGCAAAACTACTTAAGTTGATCCTAACAAAGTTCTTTAGGTTGCCGTTTTTTTTAGAAAAAGGGACATTTTTCGACCAGATTCTTTTTAAGCTCAACTTTGGGGAATTCTCGAAAATCAATAGGTGCCTCGATTTGGCTCAAATGTGACCATCCTGATGCTTAACAAACACTTGCCAAAATATTTAAGTTGGAAAAGCTCAAAAGTTGCGTTTTTTTTCTTGAAAACGGAACATTTGTTGACCAGAGACTTTTTAGGCTGAAGTTTGGCGGTTTCGCAACAATCAACAAATGCTTCAATTTGATTYAAATTCGTTCAAATTGTAACCTGACGCCWTACAAACAGTCACAAAGAAAGTTGAGTTGATCTTGATGAAAAGAACCTCAAGTTGACATTTTTTTCTTCAAAAATTAACATTTTTTTCACCGCAAACTTAAAGACTCTAATGACCAGAATATCACCTCATTGCTTCATCAATTATCGTCTAATGCTAGATTAGTAATTGAGAAAACCTAAGATTCTAAAAACCAACAGACATTTATTTAATATTGGGTAAAAACCTTTSACCCAATGGCATTGAAGGAAATCATAATTTTTCAAGTTTGCTATTAAACCCAAGCAAAGTATATGGAACGAATGCAATACGCATCGTCAGTTAAATGACCGGAATTGCGCAGCCGGAAATTGAACTGGAAATTGGTTATCTGCTCGAAGGAAAATCCGAAAATTCCCCCCGCATATGAAAGTCGGAAAGAGTTTCCGCGGTTTGTGCATTAGCAAAGTTACACCAGTTTCATTGCCCTGAAAATAATCAGTTTCCCATCAACAACTAAAGCTTTTAAAAATCGTTTTCTACCTCTATGTGTTGTTCTAAATGCATGATACGACCGGTATGTGAAATTGGAGCAGCTTAATTTTAATTTTCGATGGCCTGCCGAACCGATAATATTGATAGCTTTCCCCATATTGGGGCCATTTATGCAATATTGCCGAATTGCAATTACGTGACTTGAAGTTGAATTTCCACTCAATGCAACAGACGTAAATAGAGTGGCTATTCTAGACGAATGGAATCGATACTTACCTCACATTTGATTAGTACACAGCACAATACAATTGAATGGGATCATGTGACTCATACACTCGAAAGTTATGACAATTTTTAAACAAAGTTTTACTGGTCACCAGTTTTGAATTTTTGTTTTTGTGATTTATTCACTTTTTAACGATTCTGGCCTGCCCTGTCTGTGAAAATTGCTTTCGCTTTGATTGACTGCTGATTTCATTTCAGCTTGAAATTATGATTTATTAGCAGCTTCCAAATATGCGGGTTGGGGACATTATTAAAGCGAGATCCGCTTATAGGCAACTGGAAATAAATCGATGATTAAATTTGATTAAGTCCTCGATTTACTGCCGCTAGTGCCTCATAGCAAATTAACCAAACGGATTAACGCGAGCGATGATGACGGGGGATTTACGTCGAATGAAAATTATTTGGAACAGTTGGTGGATTTTCAATTATTCAATTTTAGTCGAAAACTTTCCCCGAAATTTCTTGGCAAGATTGTCGCAATTCCGGATAGTTTTATCACTAGCTGGAGCTGCTGAAACCGCCGCGATAATCAAGTTAAATTTCACCCTAACTGACTCTTCTGTTCAGGTACTTGAGGGACACTCAACATTTTATCGACCGAAGACGCGTTGCAGTCTGGGGATGGAGTTACGGCGGTTTTGTGGCTTCTTTGGCTTTGGCAAGTCCGAAAAGCGTTTTTCAATGTGCCATTGCGGTTGCACCGGTCACAAATTGGAAACTTTATGGTAAAACTGGGCAGTCTAAAAATTTGTTGAATCAACGTGAAAGTTTCGTTCTTTTGCAGATTCAGCGTACACGGAACGTTACATGGGGCTGCCGAATGTAACCGAAAACTATAAGGGCTACGATGAAGCCGATGTCAGCAAAAAGGCCGCTCAACTTAAAGATAAAATGTTTTATCTGGTTCACGGTTCAGCTGACGACAATGTGCACTTACAGCAAAGCATGGTCCTTGTTAAGGCTTTGTCGGATGCTGATACGCTTTTCCGACAACAGGTTTGTGAGCGATTTTCCTCTCATTCAATGGACGTAGTTAAGATTGTCTGGTTCCCGCCAGGCCTGGATAACACTGTGTTGAGTTGTTGCCGCTCTCTGAGTTCATGATGAGTTTTAACTCATTGGTTAATGAGTTATAACTTATTTATCTTTTCTGTGGAACCTTTTCCAAGATAAATCTTCCAAATAGTTGAGCATTTTCTCCTGCTTTAACTGATCGGTTTTTGAAAAAACTAAAAAAAAACGTAAAACGGATATTGGCAAAAGATGATCAAGAAGACCAAACTGCAAAGTCGACGAGTTTTCCGGTAAAATCGATTTCTTAATTTTTTGCAAGACTTTTTTCCTGTTTAAAGCAAGGGCGGATCCAGGATGGGTCATTCAATTCTCTATCCAACGATGTCAAAACGAATTCTGTGGCTCGAATGGTTCTTGAGAAACTTCGAAAAAAGCAGCGTCATGTTCAAGTGGATTTTGCAACTCAAAAAAAAATCACGCAAATCTAAAACTTCTTGAATTCAAGCATTTTTTGAGAAAACTGCCAACATTTCCTTATCGATGGTTCACTTTCTAAAAAGGCCATTTATT